CTTGCTTCCAATAGTCCGAGTACTACCTGCTACCGTCTCAGTGGTCTGTCCTCGAGCCTGCTATCTGTTCACTCTCTCCAACCCACCCCTCCCGCATAACATAAAACTCCACACGCACTTAAAATCCTGGGCTATCTTCGGAGAGCCCAGAATCTTCCGCACCAAACATGTCGATTCATTTCCATAACCAATCCGCCACCAAATGACTCAATATGGCGGCCACCGTCTTGCGCAACACATATGGCCTTTCCCAAATGCTACGTTGTCCACCCACGGCTTCACAACTCTAGATAAAGACATTATACCACATCCACTAACCTCCCTTGGTCACATTATTCCCCTTTTGGAAGACACAAATACGCCCTGTGGTCATCTCACATCACCTCGAACCGAACAACTCCTCTCCAGCACAGCTCGCCTCACCATATGGCCCCGACAAATACTTTGTTCCTCGATAACCACTACGGGACCACTCCTTCAGAGTCGCCGGCAAGCAGCGCTCCATCTCCTTCCGACATTAATGCTTTTCGCCCGTTCTACCGTAAAAAATTTTCTCCCGTCGGAAAAATACATCTGATCTCGTCCCAGACCCCTTTTCCCGTAAGGACACAAAAGCAAATTGCACGTTCAACTCCTCTTCGTCCTGGCCGGACTTCAGAAAGCAATTCTTTCGAACTTACTGATGGCTGTTAGACCTTCGAAACGGAGGTCTTCCTGGCATCTTGACGCCATAGCTTCGTCTCTCACCTCTCATTCCGACAAGCGCGATCCCTGCCAATTTTTCCTGGATCGCATTCCCTGGAGCCTCAAAACATCAGCTTCATTGAACAGCGTCTGACTCGCTTCTTGGCGTCCCTGACTACCGCGCCTCCTTCGCAGCCTGCACTTTCTTCTCCGGTTGTTAAGCAGACCTCACTCTGACTTCTCGATCCTTGTATTATGCCACGCACCATCATAACACTCCGTCCCATCTCGGATATCCGAACGACACACAAATCCTGTATAATTGCTTCGCGTCTCGCTGACCGACCAGCGCGAACACTTTCACAATTATCCGCTGCTCTCTCGAGTGTATTCCTTCGCTCTGTCTCCAACATTGCGACTGTTTGAGTTATGTCTGCTTATACATGGCTATACGAATCACTTCTGTAACAATCCAACATCCTTTACGCCTGCATAACAAGCGCTGGAGCATTCTAATAGTCTAATTTTGCCGGAATTCTTGACCCCCGACCCCTGTATACTACGACGATGAAAGTTGGGGTGAGTCACAGAGTCATTGTTTCGTATGTGTTTGATATTGCGCTTTGCTGTAAGATAGACGTTCCAGCTTGCTTACCTGTTTGTGTTTCCGGCGGCTGCATATTCTGAAGATGCTGCTTCTAATGGAGTCCAGGAGCACCTCCCACTCAACAGGATGTAGTGAAGAGGCCAGGTGTAGAGACAGTTCATATTTCTGCAGTGAGAGACGGTCACGAGTAGCGTACCATCGCTTCCTCTCCCAATGTAGCCAGGATGAGCGGGCTGCAGCGGTTGCTTTTGAGGCGGCAAATGATGAGCTTTTGATTTTAATATTGATGAATTTAGGGGTTACTCCCCTAACTATTGTGTCAGGAACCATATATGTAAGTTTGCCAGACCAAATTTCAGGGATATCATGTAAAAGTCGGAGACCAACGAGGCTTGACTAGCCAAAATCATTAATTAGATCGCTAGTGAGGTAGATACCTTTTTATTAGCTTATGATCGTTTCGATCGCATAGCGATCATCCTCAGAGCTAAAATGTGAAAAACAAATATTATTAACAGGTTGTAGTTATTGTATGCAAGATTCGTAAGCAAACTGGGTCGTACCTACCTTGCAACTTTCGGGCCGAAACGATCATAAGCTGAATAAAAAGTATTGATACCAGACAATATCTTTATTTTATTTATCACTTTCTTTACTTCTGATGAAAATATCTAGAAACTGCTGTTGAGGCTGCGAAATATTGCTTAGATGAATTGGGAGAGCATTAGCAGCAACTGCGACGAGAAGTTTTGTGCATCGCCTTCTGTGTTCTCATCAGACGAGAGAGTTCTGAAAAAAAAGCGACCCACAATTGACAAATATTATTGCTTTGCGGAAAGAATAAATGGGTATTGAAGAGATAGTCATCTCAGGTTGTTACCTCTGACTGGACTAAATTAACGTTCTTCTTACGCATTTCACGTCACGGGATTAAATTGCAGGGGTGGTCCCCTCCGTTCGATAATAAAGTTAAATAACATTTGCAAGAGCAGGGTTGCAGTTCCCCGAACCTGCGTTTTCACAGGACAAATTTATGTAGTTTTCTCAGGAGTAAAGAGCTTTTCTAATGTTTTTGGACTATCAAAGAAAGCGAAAAGCTGCCGAGGAAGATTGTATAATTACTACAAATGTTTTTAAGGAAGTGTTGTCAATTGTTCCTGGAACATTTGTCTAATACTGAATAAACCCATATGGAAAAGTTGTTTCAAACATCAATTGCATAGTTTGGATTAATTTGATATTCTGTGAGTACATTGGACGTTACCTTTATACACTTTAAAACAAATAACACGTTAGTAGTGGAGAATGGCCGGTTCTGCATTCACAACAAAGGCGATACCTTGCGGCGGGAAACCGGTGCCACCTTTTATAACGGCCGCTTCTGCATCACAACAAACCGGCGCCATCTTTGTTGTGATGGCGAGCGACCTTGCAGGGCTTCTCTTCCTCTTCTTCCAATAAGTCCGGTCGATTTGTCATCATCCATTCGTACAGAGCGATGGCGTGTTGCGCAGCTAAGCTGACATGACCACACGCGTAGAGGTCGCGATACCTACGCAAGCATTCTTGCAGGGGTGGACAAGCAAACAGTTCCAAATCGAAAATACTGAAGTAAATTTTGTCTTGGAGCAGTTCCTGTAACCACTCTTTCTTTTGCCCACCCTTGACGTATATTTTTGTGACACCTAAGGCTTTTCTCACCACATTATATCTTTCATGGTAATCGTAAACACCTGTACTCCAAGACGGTGTAGCGTGATGGAATGTTTTCATCCACCACACTCGCGTCTTGTCGTGACTATACAATTTCGAATAAGGGCGCGGCGGTCGAAAGGTGAAGGTCTTCTCGATCCGCTCGTCCTCGTTCATGGACTGACGGATGACGGCCAGCTCTTTGATGATGAACCTACCTTCCATTCAAAAACCTTGAAGATCGACAGCTACAGCGCCGTGAAGATCAACGACAGCTAAACTGGCATTCATTTCCATTTGTTGTTTTCTTTTTCTCATTCTACGATTTCTAATTCTGCAACTCTCAAAAAGAGAAACGTTTTTGTAAGACGACGGTATTTCATTTTCCTTATTTCCATTGACGTCTTCGACGAACAGTTCACACCGCGGTGTGCGCGATTGTGTCGACATTGATGTGGGGAGCAAGGCTCATCCAAGTCCAACGAAGACGTCCAGCGTTTCGTAAGGTTTTTCATATGACGCAATTCCAGTTGTTCTCCAGCTTGTGCAGTTCAGTTGGATTTTCTTCTTGTTTTTCTTTGTGAAACATTGAACGTAAGACGCTCCACATGCCAACAACCAACAAACACCACAGCGGAAACAAATCGAGGTAAAGGGTTTGACTCTCTTCCATGTAGAAGCAGCGGACAATCGCTCTCGACAGACTCAACGTCAACGGTGTCGACGTCCCTTTTATACTCGTCTGTGACACCAATCTCTCCCCACTCCACTATTCTTCAATGTCTTTCATATGCACCCACGAATTGTGTCGTGAGTCGAAACCCAGCCATTTCACGAGGCGAAGCGGTCCCTTTCTACGTACGACACGCTCGACTTAATATTGATTGGGGTATCGCGTGCGATGCAATTCCTCGGTGTAGAAGCGACCCTTGATCGATTCGCCTTGCAGGTCTTCTAGCGAGTACGTGACGGGATTCGAGAGATGTACACGAACGATTTTGAAGAGTTCGGTTCCCCATCGCGCTTCGTAGCCTTTCCGAAACGGCGAGCTTTTATACGTGCTCACGCGAATGACGTCGCCGACTCGAAATAGATTTTTCCTCAGGAGACGCGGGTCGAGCGTTTTCACTTGGCCGTACACCGTGTTCATGAGGCGATCGTCTTTGACGTCTTTCGGCTTCATGCAGATGGTTCGATGCGTGGTGTTGTAATATCAGAGGAGGGCGGTCAGCATAAGTCCAGCGTCGCGTCCCCTCGGCAGTGAAACGTCTCCACATCCGCTCCTTGAGTGTTCGATTGAAACGTTCGACAACGGCGGCCTTCACATTGGAAAAGGTGGAATAATGATGAATGTCATGCTCTCGGAGCCACTTGTTGAGCGTGGCATTGTAAAACTCGGTGCCGTGATCGGTTTGCAGGAAGTGGGTCACGCGACCGCTGGTCGTGACGATGCGGTCGAAAGCCTTGGCGACTTCCGCTCCCGTCTTTTTTCTTTATCCCTTCAGCTCAGGCGTACTTGCTGTACACGTCGATGACGGTGAGAATGTAACGCAACCCTCGATTGCTTTTGGCGTACGGTTGCATGTCGACCAAGTCGGCTTGCCATAGATCGTCGAGTCCTTGCGTAATCACCTTCCGTCTCGCGTAACGTCGTCGGGCAGGCGCGTGCAATTCCGCAGATAGTCCTTGTCGAACGGTCGACACGGACGCATTATTCTTTTTATTCTTCCGCATGATTGGAGGAGCTAAACGATAATACCGGCGTTGCGCAATTCATCTTCTATTTCTATTATTTCTCCATCGAGCCCGTTGTTACCGGCGGCTTTCGACGCGTGTAAAAGTCTGTCTCTCCACGAGTGTGTTTGGATCACGCCAATATTTGTAGTCTGGCGCCGTCACAAAACGTAGACCGCTGCCCTTCTTTTTCTTCTTTTTGTTTTGAAGTCTTGTGCTTTGTCTTTGCCCTCCGAAAAGAGGTGCGATCACTTCACGATATTTCCATTTATTACTTTGTGTGTTATACCGCATGTTCGCTCTGTACCTCTTCTTGTGTGCGGAACTTAATTCGAGAATTTTTTTTGTAATTATTCTTATCGTCTGTCGTCACATCTGCTAAGTTGGGGCGTTTGCTGAACAGTAGTTCGAGAAGACCTGGCTCTGGATAGAATTTGTAACCCTGAACGGAGAAGAGTCCCTCTTCCGGGTAAAGTTCCATGACGGAGTGTCCGATGTGGGGTTGACCTCCTATATAGTGTGGTCCGTAAACGGTATTACCTAAGCCAATTTTAGCATCATTCAAATGAGATAACAATTCTTCATAATGTTGCGTCCTAACATCGCTTTCTTCTCCGGAGTCTGGGAGAGTTTCGAAGGAGGGATGGAAGACATCGCCATCATCTTCAGCTTCTTCTACATCTTCTTTTGTTTCCGATTTGATGGGAAGGTGTGTGGAAGGTTCAAGGGAAATCGGTATTTTCTTTTTTTTCTCTCTTTGCGTAAGCGCTGTCGAGACGGATGCTGTGAGATAAGTATCGAGTAAACGATTGCGCAGCGTCTCGCTTTCTTGCAAGATGTTCATTCTGTTGCGAATATTTTCGCGAGCCTTCTCCACCTCCGTTTTCAACCTTTCTTCCACCGTTTCGGGTCGAGGGGGAGCGGGTGGTGGGGAAGGGGGAGGAGGACGCGGTGTCTTTCCGCGCAAGCTCTTTTTCGCTTTCTCGAGCGCACGAAGCGTCTTCAAATCGATGTTGGATCTTTTGGTATTTGTTTCGTCGTCTACTTTTCTTCTTCTCACTATTCTCGAAGCCGTTGTTTTATTTTTCACACGCCCTCCTATTTGGAATTTCAATTTCATCTCACCCGCCACACCGAGCGCGGCAGCTCTTTCACCGAAACTCGCGTCTCTGGATTTGACCCGCTCCCACGCGGCCTTGGTGAGCGCTTCGTCTGCCCTTTCGCGTGCCTCACCTTCTTTGTAGTTGTGGTAAGCAATGCCGTGTTCTCTACACGCTTCGTCCAAAGGATTCATACCGCGGTCGCCTCTTTGCAGCCTCTTCGCGAGCTTCGTACCGGGTCCGCAAAATTGACAGCCGCCGGGAATGTGCAGTTCGAAGGGAAGTTTGTCTATCGTCCGATTCAGTATCCGGCCTATCATGCCTCTTCCGCGAGTGCGTCGTTCCCCTCGTCGCGTTCCCGCGACATTGAAATGCTGTCGCACGTACACCATGGTGTAGAGTGAAGACTATAGTGATTCAAACAGTCCCAACAGGCACGAGAAAACCGGTGAAGCCCGATCGGTATCACCGTCACAAGCGACATAGCTTAACAATCACTACAAAAGCAAAAGAAGCCGTCGTTCCACACGTTGGAACAAAACGCAAAAAAAATCGTCGAAGGTCGTAAAATCGTTTCCGACGCGTTCTTTGAAGATGTACTTGAGGTTGTGCACGTCTTGGCGGAAGATGACGATCATGTTCACGTTATCGCGAACCATCTGCTTGGGAATTTTGGTGTACGTTTGACACAGATAGAGCACATCCATGTGTTTATGTCTGCCGGCCGCAAAGTAGGCTTTGATGTAGTCTTGTTTTTCGATGGCAATGTCGTCGAAAATGAAAACGCTGTCGGGAGAGGCCTCGGCCGGCGGCACGATGCTATCGCGCTGCGAAAACGAATGAAAATGAACGAGTCCGTCGCAGACTTGCTGCAAGTACTTGTACATGGGCTGCGCTTCTGTAGTGGAATATAAATACACGTTGAGGAACGACAGTCCGAACTGTCCGGTGAGAAGCGAGACGACCACGTTTGTCTTTCCGCATCCGGAAGGTCCCACAATAAGAGCGCGCACACTATCGGGGGAAAAGCGGACCGTGTCGACTCTTTTTCTCATCCTCTTTTCCCTTCCATAAGGCCGTCACATGCACGACGGGCAGTTTCACTGATTGCTCAATCACATCCATCACCTCCGCTGAGGAGACTGCATGCGATCGAAGTAAACTTGTTTTAAACTTTTTTAAACATGCGGGTTCATGAGAGAGAGAGGGAGAAGGGGAAAAGGTCTACTCGGTGTGTGATAGAATGTAGAAATAAAAAATTAAAATAAAAGCATTTTATTAAAACATTAAAAATGTATCATACATTATATGACATGGATCAAGCGTTTAAAAATTTTACACATTCTCTAAAATTGTATTTAAAAAATCATGATTTGACAACACGTCTGCTGGCTGCCACAGAAGCAATCGCCATCTCGAATGCTCTCGTTAACCATTCCGCAGCGTTGCATGCGCATCCGCTGACATCCACAGGAAAAAGTTCACAACAGACCGTATCCGATGAGGTGGATTCCAATGTCGACTTGTTCAATCGACGTGTTTTTTTTTCTTTTGCTCTTTTCTTTTTATGACCTCGGTTTTCTTTTTCGTCGTGCAATGCTCCGGACATGGACTGCATGCTAAAGAAAAATCAATAGAAGACTCACACATTTTTTTGTTTTGATCTCTTTGCCAAAACTGCTCCGAGTTGCGACTCACAAGAAGAGGAGCCGACATCAGGCGAATCCGATTGAAGTTCTTTTCCGCAAGTGACATTCATCATCTCGCGAAGGCAGGAGACGAAATGAAGACCGCGAGCTAGACTCGTGACTTCTTATACGATCACATTTCTCTTCACAACAAAGTCGTCGATGGGCGAGTATTGCACTTCCGTTTTGTAGATAATGACACAAAACGCTGTGACGTTAGTGGGCATCTCTACCTGTTTCCCACATGATATTGATGTCGGTTTGCGAGGGAAGGACGGCAGACGCTTTGGCGGAGACGTCCCAACAAAAAGAGAGACGTGAAAATCTTTTATATTAAGTTATGTTAAATTTTAGCATAAACAAACACTTTAAAAATGAATCAAATCTTACTATTCTGTAGCCTACCACTCGATGTCGCTAACGCGCCGTAAGCGCATGATGGGCAGTAGCGGAGGGGGTGGTGGCGGTGACACAGGTTGATAATGTGTCGAGGACGGCTCCCCGACAGGTGACACATCTTCATATTGGGGCGGTGAATGTGTGGAGGACGGTTCCACCACAGGTGACACATCTTCATATGGGGACGGCGGCGTCTCTGGCGCAGGGGACGTGAACCGCACATCCCGCATGGCTTCTCTGTACACTTGTAGTGGCATGTCCACAATACAATGTTGCGGCGCAAGAACGCACAGTGCACAACAGTTAGGCTCGCACACGCAGTGTCTGTAGAAGACGGCCATCGTCCTCCGGCGTCTTTCCCATATCGTCCACATACATTTCATTCGCTCCAGCAAATTTTAAGAAGTTTATTGCCGTCCACGCTTTTGCGCGGAAAGCGTAGTGAAGCGGTGTTTTGTTATAGTTATCCAGACGATTCAGCGAATCGCCGCGTGCAAGGCAAAAAATTAGTCCACTTACATCATTGTACGCGGCCGCATAATGTGTGACACTCCGGCCGAATGCATCCACCAACAACTGATGCGCGTTGGTATATTCACGAAAATTAGCCCAGTGGAGAGGATTCATCTCGATCTGACTCGTCGCACTGTAGAAACCGAACTGGCGAAAACGTGTTTATGACATTTGTATCGTACAGCTTTGAGGAGGTCTTGAAGCACAGATGTGCAGATGAAATTAGCAACGCTGTGTGGTCGCCACGACCCGCTCTCTGCGAGCGCATCACCACACCAACTTTTAATTTTTCTCGCGGAGCGGATTCATTTTTTGATATGACTTTTAACACAGTGGAAACCGAACTATGTATTTATGTCATTCTGAGGTTGATTGCGTATTCTGGGATGATTGTGTGTTGGAGGAATGGTTTGTGTTTACAGAGGAATAGGAGTTTGTGTGTAGAGATGAGAGAAGAGGTAGATTGTAAATTTGGAGGTGGTACTGCTGATGAGGTAGATTTTTGGATCTATTAATTTCGGAGGGTACGAGCTTTGTAAATGTAAGAGTGTATTGGCAGATTGTGTCAATGGCAGAACGGTACAGTTTGCAATTATTACACGTCGGGGTGAAGTTATATCTGGGCGTTTGGGTATGATTCTGTGAGGTTCCAGAGCAGATGGCACAGATGGGCGGTCATCGGCAGAAGCCCTTGTGTGGTACAATTTCTGGCAATTTTTACATTAGGGAACTCTGTCGGTTCATAGTCTTCAGCTTGATGCTGTAGTTCCCAACATACTTTACTCCTTGTTATGATGGAGGTGATATCGCGTCGTGGTGCCGAGTGGGTCAGCTGTACGTCGGCGTTGCGCTTTTGTATTTCGGTCACGTGGCACTAAGTTTATTTTGAGAGCTGTCAAGTTGTCTTAGATGGTGTCGATTGAGAAGTTGGGGGTTAGGGAGTACTTTGAGAATCAGTTTTTCTCTGGTCTCGTCCGTCGCACGATTAAGGTGGTAGACAAAAATATGTTTTAGGTTCGTAGTTCGTATGGTGTCGAATCTGTCTCTTATTCAGTTGTGGGCGATGACAGTCAGGGTGTAATTACTAATTTTGTTCGGTACATTTACTTGTGGCTTGTCCGTTGCAGTGATGAAGTAAGTCTTTGGTTGGTTCATTGGGGGCAGAGGATTGATTCTAGGTCAATTTTAAGTTGATCGATTTTTTTGTCTGAGTGCAGTAGTTGTCTTGAGTAGGAGTCTTATTTTGGGTGGTAGTGTTGTCTGTCTGAGTCAGTATCTGGGCCGAGGAAGTGCCTTTGTTAGAAGTGGAACTATTTTGTTGGTCTGGGATGGAGGGAGGAGAGAAAACGTTTTTAAGAGGGATGCCATTTGGAGGTGGCTGGTGTGTTTGCCGGAAGATGTTCTGGTAAAGAGTGAAAGGACCAGTCGGGTCAGAGGAATTTTGGTAGGTTTGGATGCCTTGCATGGGGGGTGAGTGAATGATACCGCTTTCGGGGGTCATTACCTTGTTGGATGGGGGCAGCTTCTGATGGCGTTTGCATAATCCAAGTGTGGATTTAGGATTTTCTGCGGGGTGTGGATCCATCAGTTCATCACCATTGTTCATTGTTCATTTGAGCGCGCGGCAACAGCTCCGGCTCCTTTCCGCTCCTGGTGGGCAGTTGCAGTAGGGCGTTGAGAAGTCAGCTGAAAGGCTCCTCTGGTGCACGTGCCTCTGTTCGTGAACAGCTCCACACCGTCCTACTTGAAGCCAACGCAATTTGCCGGCAGATCGAAACGGGATCAAAGCGAAATGCTCTCGACAATACACACAGCTCGTGAATCGTACGGCACATTGCTCGTTAATTCAACTGAAAACACCATTGCTCCGCCCAGTTCAGCCACGCGCTCGCCGCGTCGTCTCATGATACCTACGGCGCTATGCGTGGCCCACGGTCAATACAGGCTTGGGCGCGGAATAATGACGTCAGCAAAGCCGTGCTGTGCGTACTCACTGGTCCTGGTGGCCAAGCGGGGAGGCTACACATCACTAGGCGTGCAATAAGCATTAAATAATTTTAATATCATAGGTTTTCCACGCTAGTATTACTTTGGGATAATTTTCTTTTCTCATTAAATACATCTGACAGATATGGGAAGGGAAGAACACATTTTTATTTGTTTTAAATTTTTTGAGTTGTCTTTGATATTTAGTAGCAACAATTTTGTCCTTTTTTAAACTCATTACATTGTTTATGAATGTCTTAGAAGCTCTTAACATAATGTTGTGAAGCAAGTCTTTGGCACTTCTTTTACAATCACATAATGCATTCATATTTATTGAAAAATCATATCCGTTACTAATTTTTTTGGACATTGGTATTTATCGTGGGCCACGCCAGTGAGAAGGCTGCAGTGAACTCTTTCATAACTCAGCAGCAGCTACATCCATGGCTTTTGATGATCCTGTAAAAATACATTCACATTCTCCTAATTGTGACTATTTATCCATTCAGTATGATCTTCTACTATGATAAATAAAGGATGTCTGGTATCAATAACTTTATTAAGCTTATGATCGTTTCGATTGCATAGTGATCATCCTGAGAGCTTGC